ACACACACATATACACACATTTAGCCCCCCCCCCCCCTCACACACACATAAACACCAAACCATACACACGCACACACACTCTCTCTCATAAACACACACACACTCAATTATATATCCACACACACATAAACACACACACACATACAAATGTATATAGATGCACCACACACACACACACACACACACACACACACACACACATAATCATACATATATACATACATAGACATATATGCACCACACACACACACACACACACACACACACACACACACACACACACACACACACACACACACACACAATTATAGCTGTTGTATATCCTCAAAGAGACGTCAGCAGTCTCAGATCCTCCATTATTGCATTAGTGTGTGTGTGTGTGTGAGGCTGTTATTATTGTGTTTCCCCTGCGCTGCTGCTATTATATAACCACAGTTATAGCATGAGTCACTGATGCTCGTTGTGACGCGCTTTTCCATCTATTTCTCTGTGTGTGTGTGTGTTCTGACTCTCAGTGGAGGACAGTGATGCAGATTTATCAGCCGAAAGCATTAGTGTACAGTCAGCCAGCCGCCGTAAATAACACACCATTTATAGAGGACATTATAAAGCAGCATTACTGTGTTAATTAGGCGTGCTGGAAGCTTTTAAAGGGGCAGTTCACAAAAACTCAAAATATATATGAAAATATTTACTCGAGAGGACTTTTTTTATCATTCTTATTTGGTGATACTTTAGCTTAACCCTCCTGTTGTCTAGAATTCTGTTTACTCAGCTCAATGTCTGGGTCAAAAAAAGAGCCGTCTTTACTAAAACTCTCAAATAAAGCAGATTTAATTTCAATCCTCAAAATTAATTAAAAAATTCACCCCCTTGATAGTAGTCATCAAGGGTAAAATAACCTTAATTCACCAAAACTATTTTTGTTTTCGGCTATAAACAACATTATTTATGCAGTAAAGTTAGGCATTTTAACATGGGAGTCAATGGAAAGTTGCTCTGTTTTGGAGTCAGCCCCCCAGTGGCCAGTCGATGAATTGCAGTTTCAGGTGCTTTCACTTTACATTGGTGAATCTTAAATGTCTTTCCCAATTCCGTCCAATAGCCCTCATCCCTCCTGTTGTCAATAATCAGGCATGTGATTGGCCGCGGGCAAGAGAAGGAAGACGAGACCCACACCCCGAACATGCATTCAAATCGTTTTCATAATCTTGCATAATGTCATCGGCTTCCTGATACACGCACAATATAGGACTACACAATAAACCTCGAAAATAATGCACATACATTTAATTTCAATCCTCAAAATGTATAAATCATGTCCTCACAGCTGTCATGATGGGTAATATTAACTATATAGACTAAAACCATTTTTGTACCAGACTATAAATAACATTTGTTTTCTGCAGTAAAGTCGTGCATTTTAACATGGGAGTCTATGGAAATTTGCTTGTGTTGGAGCCAGCCCCTAGTGGGCACTTGATGAATTGCAGTTTCAGTTCTTTTCAGCTTTACAATGTAGAGCAGGAGGTTGATGTTTGGGTGCCACTTAAAGTCTTTTCTCAATTCCTTCCAACAGCCCTTAACCCTCCTGCTGTCTATAATTCTGTATACACCGTTTGATTGTTTGGTCAAAAATGAGCCGCCTTCACTAAACCTCTAAAATAAAGCAGATATATTTAATGTCAATCCTCAAAATTCACAATTCATGCCTCAAGGTTTACATGAAGGGTAATATTAGCGAAACACGTTTTGTACCAGGCTATAAACACATTTCGTCTGCAGTAAAGTTGAGCATTTTAACATGGGAGTCAATGGAAATTTCCTCTGAGTTGGAGCCAGCCCCCAGTGGCCGGTTGATGAATTGCAGTTTCAGTTACTTTCGTTTCAGCTTCACAGTGGTAAACCTTAAGTGTCCTTCCCAATTCCTTCCTATAGTTTTTCATTATAACAAGCAAAATAATCTGCCAATGGGGGAAGCAAAATAATCTTTTATTTCAAAAGGGACAGTACATTTTTTAGCTTGATTTTAGGAAAATCTCACTCAATTTTGAGTCATGATTACTGAAAACAACACAGTATTTTTTACATGTCTAGAAAATGCTTCTTTATTTAAGAATTTTTAGATATTCGGACTAGAAACAAGACAAAAATAGGTAAGAAAAGCATTTGTTTGCAGTGTATTATAACCTGTGAATCACAAAATCCTTAAGCATCACATACGACACACACATGCACACTTTCAGATTTAGTCTATTATTTCACATATGAAACTGTGCAGGCTTCATACATGACTCTAGAAAATAAATTCGGCATTGCACCTCCGTCATGCACTCATATCACAGACAGAAAATAAAGAGATTTTTTTAAAAACAACAGAATGTGAAATAAAAATAACTATAAAAATAATCAACGCCACTACATGAAGGACGGACGAACCGATTTGCACTTATGTGAGTGAAATCTCGGCAAGAGGGTCGTGACAATAAACAGATAAAGAAAATCTCTCTCTCTCTCTCTCTCTCACACACACACACACACACACACACACACACACACACACACACACACACAGAGAAAAGATGCAGCAGAGAGAGGGGAAATGAGCTTGACAGAAAGAGTCTTACCTTCCTCCGTCATGGACTGATAATATTTTAGCTTTCCGTACGTCCCGAGCTCTACAATATCACACACAGAGACAAGGGTAAGGAGACACACACACACACACACACACACACACACACACACACACACACACACACACACACACACACACACACACACAAATACACACACAAATGCACACAAACATACACACAAACATATACAATTATACACGCATACTCTATACATACACAAATACACATTAATACACAAACACACACACACACACTTGCTCTCACACACACATTCATAAACAAATACACACACACACACATATGCACATATTCACATGCACACTATATGTGTAAAATACAAACACATACACACATAAACAAATAACAAATACACACACATGAACAGACACATTCATAATACACACACATACAAATACACACATACATACATAAACAAAACAGATACACACACACACACACAAATGTACACGCAAATACACACACATGAACAGACACATTCATAAGTAAATACACACACATACAAATACACACATACATACATAAACAAAACAAATACACATACACACACATACGTACACACAAATACACAAACGCATTCATAAATAAACACACACAAATACAAAAATACGCACACACACACAAATACACACATACACATTCATAAATAAATACACATACACAACACATATTCATAAATACTTTCTCTCTCACATACACACACACACACACACACACACACACACACACACACACACACACACACACACATTCATACTCGCATACAAATACACAAACACACAAAAATACACACAAATACAAGCACATGCAAATATACACACCTAAACACACACACACACAAATACACACACACACACATATAAATACACACACACACACATTCATAAATAAATACACATACACAACACATAATCATAAATACTCTCTCTCTCACACACACACATTCATAAATAAATACACACACACATAAATACACACACACAGATGAAAACACAGACACAGTCAAAAATACACACACACAAATACACACTCAAATAAATATACAAACACACACACACACACACAGTGAGGATGAGAAGGTTAAACATCTCTTGAAGCCGGTCTCACAGACATAAGTGCAAAATAACCCAACAAAACGACAACAGAGGAGAAATAAGGTCTACTTATAAATGACACACACACACACACACACACACACACACACCTAAAAATTTCCTTATTTTAGTCTCACGATTTAATCATATATTTGACAGCTGGATGTTACAGACGGTGTGTGTGTGTGTGTGTGTGTGTGTGTGTGTGTGTGTGTGTGTGTGTGTGTGTGTGTGTGTGTGTGATGTAAACATGTTTTGAGTCCGGGGACCTTCAGAATGACCTCTGCATCCGCTGACCGCTCCACCCCAGCGGCACAAAGCTTTTAACATCGATTCAGCCGGGAAACTGTGTGTGTGTGTGTGCGCGTGCGTGTCTGAGGGTGTGTGTGTCTGAGTGTGTTTCAGTGTCTGAGTGTGTGTCTGTCTATGATTGTGTGTGTGTATAAGGGTGTGTGTGTCTGAGTGTGTGTGTCTGACTGTGTGTGTGTGTCTGAGTGCGTTTGTCAAAGTGTGTGTGTCTGTGTATGCGTGTCAGAGACTGGCTGTATCAGTGTGTGTGTGTGTGTGTGTGCATGCATGCGCATGCATTTATGTGTGTTTGTGTAAGAGTGTGTGTCTGAGTGTGTGTGTGTCTGAGTGGATGTGTGTGTATCTGATTGTGTGTGTGCGTTTGTGTATCATTGTGTGTGTCTGTCTAAGTGTGTGTGTGTCTGAGAAAGACTGCATCAGTGTGTGTGTATTAGTGTGCGCGCATGGATTCATGTGTGTGTTTGTGTAAGAATTTGTTTCTAAGTGTGTGTGTAAGTGTCTCCGTGTGTGTCTGATTGTGTGTATGTGTGTGTCTGTCTGAGTGGGTGTGTCTGAGTGGGTGTGTGTGTATTAGTGTGTGTGTGCATGAATTTGTGTGTATGTGTTTGAGTGTGCGCACATGCATTTGAGTGTGTGTGTGTGTGTGTGTGTGTGTGTGTGTATGTGTTTAAGGGAGTGTATTAGCATGTGCGCATGCATTTGAGAGAGTGTGTGTGTGTGTGTTTGAGTGTGTGTATTCGTGTGAGCGCATGCATTTGTGTGTGTGTGTGTGTGTGTGTGTGTGTGTGTGTGTGTGTGTGTGTGGCTCCACAAATAGAGAAACTGTTGATCCGGTGTGGAGGTCAAGCTGAGTAATCAATATAGGCTGGAGTGTAAGAGGTCGAGCGCAGCAACACACACACACACACACACGCGCACGCAAATGTGTTTATAGTGCATGAGAAGTGTGAATTTTGTGTGTGCGTGTGTGTGTTTTGTGTGTGTTTTGTGTGTGTGTGTGTGTGTGTGTGTGTGTGTGTGTGTGTGTGTGTGTGTGTGTGTGTGTGTGTGTGTGTGAGAGACCAGCTGAATGTGGAAAATCCTCCACTCCTGCTTTATTATGAGCTCAATATCAGTTAATGAACTTAAGCAATTAATCAATTGACTCGCAGCACAGATTTCTGTCCAGAACAGCGAGTGCCGACGCGTTCACGACACTAATTAGGCAACAAAAAACCCTGAATATTATGAATATAATCATGACGAGGTGTGCGCGCATGTCTGTGTGTGTGTGTGTGTGTGAATATAATGATGGCGTGGTGTTGTGTTTATGTAACAAACTGCAGATTAACTGAACATGTTCAACTGATATGTGAGAAAAAAGTCAACATTA